TCGTTATCCATCTTTGGAGGCCGGGCCTCACAGGTAAATGCCGTGTGACCTGGTTATGCCCGTGGGAGGTTGCTTGGTGCTTCATGGCCTGTTGGGGTGTGCTGGGCTCTCTTCCTCTTCTCTGCGGTCCTGGTTGTGTGTGGGAGCATGTGGATTGCTTTCTCACCTGATGGATGGATGGATGATGTATCTGTTCTCAATGACATATCTATCTACGGTGCATTGTCTTTTCATTTCTGAACGGCTATAGGGGTAAGTTCTTGCTGAAAGTTGTCTTTTCCTTTTCAGTACGGTAGAGGCAGTTTGGGACTGACTTGGTACACCTATCTCGTTGGTCCTGGTCCACGACCTACTTGGGACCTTCGGGACTCAGTGGGACCAGGCCCAATGGGACAGGACCTTTAGGGCCCAGATATGTTGCCGCCAATGCATCTCTTTGCTGTGCTGAACTTGGGGGCCATACGGCTGGCAAGGGCATTCCTTTCAAGGGGATCTTGACTGGTCTTACTGCATGTTATCACATACTGCCCCGCGTCTGGCTCGGCGACCGTCTGCACCCCTCGAAATCTCCATCGCTGCAGTTAGTTTTTCTTCGGCTGATTTATTGTGGTACATGTACCTTGTCAGGTTAGACAAGAGGGGATCTCCAGCTAATCTGATCGGGTCCGTTCGATAAGTCAGTCCTCTCTTCCGTTTTATTTTTTTTATTCTTTTCTTTATTCTGCTGCGTGCCATCCTCTAGGTCCAAATGAATTGCCGCTCCGGCTAGGAGTTCTACCTTCTACTCTTTGAGATTTACTGTTTGCTTCTTTTATCTGAACTATCTATGTCCGATATTGAGATGCGTGCGCAGAAAGCGGAAAGAGAGAGAAGGGAGAGAGAAGGTGTTCTTTTTGAGAGTGTGAGGAAGGGAAAGAGGAGTGTTCGTCCAAAAGTGAGCAAAGTGCGGACCCCTCTTGAGAGATCTACTGACACCCTATCCTCCGGCATGGTAGACATCACGTCCGAGCAATGGAAGGCCATGCTGGACGCAGCGGCCGAGAACGAGAAACCTTTCTTTCAGAAATTGTACGAGGACGCAATACACAGAGAGAGGGAGGCAGAGGCAGCAGCCAGAGCCACAAGTATTTCTGAACAGGTGGCCCTCCTTGCGGTTCCGGAATCGAATGACGACCGGTTCCAAGAGAAGATAGCTGCTGCCGTAGCAGCCTTGGTTCAATTGCGGACCTTGGAAGACCTTGAGTCCCGTGTGACAGCCCTGGAGCAGCGGAACCAAGAGCTGCAGGTTGAGATAGTCAGCCTCAAACAGTCCCAACTGTCTGCCCCCCGTCCTCCTAACCCTCGACCTGCTGCAGTCCCAGTCTCTCACCCTAATATCGTCCTCATGATGAGAGCAAGTGGGACTGTGACGAGAGCAGGAACCGGTGCCAGCTCCTCAAGCGGCAGCGCCGACAGTTCTGCACTGGTCATAGTCCCAAATGCAGGAACATCAGCCCAAAACGCCACAGTTCTTACTGGCGTACAGTACAGCAGTCCCGTAGTGGACAAGCGGGCGGCCACCCTGCCGTCCAAGTACGACGGGAAAGGGGATATCACCTATTGGATTAGCTCCATGCGCTCATACTTCGAGGTACTGCGAACACCGAAGGAAGACCGAAGCATGATCATGGGCACTAATACTGAGCCCGTCGTACGGAGTTTCATAGAACTCCAAGCTGTTACAGCAGGTTATGAGAGGATTGACCTGACCGAGTGGCTGAAAGTGACTCCTATACGAACTCTTGAGGACCTCCTCATCACGCAGTATCAAGACAAGCACGCTGTGCTCAAGGCAATACTGAAGCTTGAGGCCCTCAAGGGCCAAACATGGAGGACTTCCATGTAGGCTTTGGAGCAGCACTTGACTGGTTTGTTCACCACTCCAAACCTGGGATTGACCGACGTGTCTTGCATGGATGTAGTCATGGGAGTGGCCCCTAAAGAATACATCTCCCTGCTAGGACTCAAAGGCCATACCACTTGGCGAGAGCTACTGGCGGATCTAATCAACCTAGAAGCCAAGGAACTCGCCAAGCGTGTAAAGGTACCCACTGCAGGTAGAACCTCGCAACGCAAGCGGTACGGAAGCAGCAACCAGCTTGCCCTGCATGAACATCGGGAGGCTGAGGATCAGTCCTATGCGGATGACCTCTCTCTGGATGACGATCTAGAGCCGGACTCCGACGTGGGTTGTTCTTCGTCGGCCCTTGAGTCTGACGTGAATACTGAAGAAAAATGTAATGCTTTTAAAAAGACTGCTTCAAGCAAGGGGCCTAACCGTAGTTCGGGTAAGGAAACTACACACCTCCCCAAAAATGCAAAATCCCTGAGAAACCGGAGGATGCTTCTACCAAGCCTTGGGAAGCCCTTCGCATCAGTCAAAATGAATGGGAAAGAAGATTCAAATTGCGCGTGTGCTTGCATTGTCAAAAGTCTGGGCATGCTGTGCAGGATTGTTATCGTTTGCAGGGAAACAGGCAAAGGGCGTAGAGGAGTCATCAACACTCTCTACAACAAGGGAAGCTGAACAGTCAGCCCCTCCAAGGAGCTTGAATCTGATCAACAACTTGCTCTTGAAGCCCGAACTGATGCTGAATCCA